ATGTACGTACGTGTAAAAGAGAAAGAAATAAAATGCGAAAAATAAAGTTATTCTTAATTAACGACATCTACTATTTTATCAAATATTTATCAATTTATTATTGTTAAATTTCWTTTTAAAAGAGAAAGTACCATAAACAATATTTAAATGTTAATTTCATGAAAATTGATATTATTCGTTTTATACTTTCTTCCTTTCTTTTTTTTTTTAAATGTATAAATTGATTTTTACAATTAATTCGAATCTAAAGTAAAACGAAACATAATTAAAAACAAATATTAACGATAGTTACAATTTATTATATAAATTCGAAGCAAAAATTATTTGAAAATCAATAATATGGAAATAATAATAATTAATCGAAGAAGATAAACAAAACAAAAAAAAACAAAAGTATGATACGATTTATTTTTTCTTTATAATATTAGAAAAATTCATTGTAAAATTCGCGTATTATTTTCCATCAATATTTCACGAACCCTTTTAACCATTTTTCGAATCCCCATAAATTAGGNTAATATTAGAAAAATTCATTGTAAAATTCGCGTATTATTTTCCATCAATATTTCACGAACCCTTTTAACCATTTTTCGAATCCCCATAAATTAGGGCTTAATCAAAGAGAGAAAGTCGAAAACGAGACTCGAATCTCGCGAAACATAATTCTTTCCCTTTTATACGTGAATAATAATACGCGAATGTGTGCATGCGTGAGTACGTGCATACGTGTGTGTGTGTGTGTGTGTACGAAAACACAAAAACGAATGCAAGTTTATATTGCGAGCTTTCGCTAGTTTTCCTGCATGGAACGATCGTAAAAAGGAAAATTGCGAAATACGCGAACGTTTAGGTTTCTGACCAATGTGCACCATGCACAGGTTGCCCTACCGTGTTATCCAATTTTCGTTTGGTGATGGTATGAAACCTCTCGGTTGAATTTCAAATATTCGCAAGAGAGAAAAAGATAGAAGGGTGAGGTAAAACGAGAGGGTGGGTGGGGGGGAGGGGGGGGGAGCTTTAGGATCTCTCATTCGTTTATCCAAAATAATTCCCGAGTAATCGTTGACGTCACGTTACGATTCCCTAGCTTTTGTTGTTCGAATCAATTCCCCTTCACACACTCACTCATCCCAATCATTTAATGTATAAATATTCAGGTATAGGTATGTATATGCATTAGAGGAAACGTATATATGTGTGTGTGTATGCGCGTATATTATTTTAAAATAATATATGTTAATGGAAGTGTACACAGTTAACTCGTTAAGTGTCTAAACGAATTTACATAAATCAATATATATACATTTATCTAATAATATATTTCATAATTATGATTATATATAGATAATAATGATGAGACGAGAATAATGTATTATTCTATTTGCCATATTAAATTAAAAAAAATTGAAACGTGTATTAATAATAATTAGTATTATAAATAAATGTTCAATAGATTGTGATAAGTTTTTCGTTAGATGTATTTAACATCATTGTCATAGATAATCGTGTGAGACTCGTTGTAATAAAAAAATGGGCGGTGTTAACGTGAACGTCACGAGTGAGACTCGTGATAAAAGAAAATAAGGAAAACATGAGGATCGTGAATTAAACTCGTAATAAAATGAAAAATATGGGAAACGTTGGTGAAAGTTGTGATACATACAAACAACACGTACAATGGTTTAACGTGTCATAATATATTCATAGGATTGTCACAATTATGAAGAATATTTATTTGAATCGTAAAATGACTTAACCGTGCTAAGTAAATTTATTACTGATTATAACACGTATCATTAGAATTGAAATATTTTGTAAATAATGATAAACAATTTGAATAAAAATAATTTATAAGGAATTGTTGAATTATATTGTATAATTATTAACAAGTTCACGATGATTTTGTGTATAATTATTTATCTTTTTCAATCGTATCATTGGAGTTGATATCTCAGTCAACGTGAAAGATCGAAAGTTGTGAAAGTAGTTTTATAGTATTATAATAGTACTAGTAGTAGTAGTAATAGCAGTTTCTTGATGATGAAAATAATGCAGAAGTCTAGGTTTGTGTTCTCGGTTTTGCTTTGTACTAGACGGAATAATTATGAGCCAAGATTAAGCTCGGCTTTTACTCTACCAAGCTAGAGATATCCGTCTCGATATCGTAAGCACGACATCTCGGTAAGCGATCTTTCAGACGGCACGCGATATTCTCTCAACAAATATATATATATATATATGTACACATATTCTAACCGTAAACTGGACACGCAAGATTCCAACAAGGAAGAGAATCGTGAAACCATGAAACGTCAAATCGTATAGTTATACAATTTTATGATACCTTACATTTTGGGATCATGATAATAACAACTTCATTTAGAATTAAACAGATTCTGATATGTTCCAATGATTCTGAATAAACTTGATTAAAGTAATTATTTTCTATTAATATAGAAATACTATGTGATTAGTAAATTCGTATAGTTATTAAATTTTATGATACATTATATTTTGGGATCATGATAATAACAACTTCATTTAGAATTAAACAGATTCTGATATTTTCCAATGGTTCTGAATAAATTTGATTAAAGTAATTACTTTCTATTCATATGGAAATACTATGTGATTATATTCTAATAGAAAAATTGTTAAAAATAATATTTATTATAAGAAAAAATCGTGGAACCATGAAATGTAAATTCGTATACTTATTAAATTTGATGATACCTAACATTTTGGGATCATGATAATAACTTCATATAGAATTAAACAAATTCTGATATTTTCCAATGATTCCGAATAAATTTGATTAAAGTAATTACTTTCTCCTATAGAAATACTATGTCATTATATTCTAATAGAAAAATTATTAAAAATAATATTTATTACCGGATCAAATTTAACAACGAACGTTCCATCTCGCTGAGTTGATCCTGATGAACGGAAGATGTCAATTCGCAAATGAGTTTAGGTAAGCAAGCTGTTTTGATGGTTGCCATCATCTTAGCTCGTCGAGTAAGAGCTGAAAATCGGAATATGAAAATTAAAATCAAATTAAAAATCTATCTGTAAAATCCAATATATAATAATTTAGTTTAAAAATTTTGTAGATACTTCATGATCGTGTTATTGGAATGAAATGAAATAAATTAAATTGATAGAAAGTGGGTTGGAAATGATAGTAACTGTGGATAAGGATCATTAATTAGAAAATGAATATTATATATATACACCTGTCAAAGTTTATAGAATAACATATCGCGATCGTTTACTCGTTTATTTATTTATTCCTAATCGAATAATTCGAATAAAAGAAAATATTTAAACTAAAATGATAAAAATAAAAACCAATTAACCAATAATTATAATTATACATTAGAGAGAACGTATATTAAAATTAATAAAAATTTGTATTCGAATATCATTTGAAAAATGAAACACTCTAATACACATAGAAACCTTGCTACTGCTATTTACTATTCTTTGATAGTAAGTTTCACTATGCTCGACTTTCGAATAGCGTTTTCTTCGTCGGTAAAACGAGTATTAAGATTCATGTGAATGGATTAAACACGTGCCATGATATTTACCTGTAGAATCTGAATCTAGGTGAGGCAGAATAATCATGGGGATTCGTTTATGATCGAACGATTACGTTTATACTATCTATAATATTTTTGTTTAGAATTTAAATGTAATTAATAATCAAGATATTGCTTTAATTAAAAAAATTAAGGTAAACCTATCGATTAATAATAAAAATAAATATATATATCATCTTACGCGAATATGAAAAGAACGTTGAGGAATTTTGTTTGGAAAATTAATTGCAATTTGAAACGAGGATTACTGTAACTTAAATGAATTATATTAATCAAGGTAAGTCGACCGCGATGTTAGGCTTCAACTTATTTATACGAAATAAATTTTCCTATTTATTGGCGAAAGTTTTTCTAACTTTAAAATCAATCAACGTTCATGTGATTATTATTATTATTATTCAAAAATATAATCAATAATATAATAAAATCATTTGAAACGTTTCGATAACATTTATAGAATTAACAAAATTATTAATATTGAGTAATATATATTAATTTGAAAAATATTAATAAATAATAATTATAATAATATATATAAATATATACAATTTATTCTTTTCATGCTTACCGTTATCCTTTTTGATTTCTTTTTTGGTCGATGCATCGACTGTTAATAATTTTGCAGAATCATCTATGGATGGTGGTCCTATCGGTGGTCCTTTGTTAGAATTCGTTTCATTTTTCTCAACATTTTTAGCAAATATCGATGGTATAACGGTACTGTAATCTCCAGCATGCAAGTATAATGTTACACCTAAGAGTATTACCAATCGTACCGTGCTCGTGTCCAAAATCATATTGATTCACTTTGTTTTAATTAATAACTATATCACCACAACGAATCAAAAAACAAAAAAATATAAACGAATAAAAGGAAGAAAAAAAGAAGAAGAAGAAGAAGAGAAAATCGTTGAATTCTTCTGATAATCGTCGAGTCCAAGTTTTCCTGTTGCAAGTAAAAATAAGGAAAAAAAAAAAGAAAAAAAAAAAAAAATATAAAAAAGATAATTTAGTTTAATAAACTTTATCTATATATATATATTGTTTATCATAAGAGTTATACGTGAGTGTATGCTTACTTACTAAATTCTTCTTTTAAACTGTTGATTACCGTTTTTACTGGTTCATTAAATAATCAATGTTTTCATTCTGAAGTACGTGATTCTTGCATAATAGAATTCGATTAAAAACATTACGTCATTCTTGTCTTGTTGTCTTTAATTTAGGATTACAAACTCGTTAATTATGCACGAATATATATACGTACTACTATTGCATGTTTTTTTAAATAACTTCTAATTCATTATGTATGAAACATAAAAAAACAATATACTCTTATTAACACTTGACAACAAATTTTGAAGTATACGTTTTGATTTGAAGTATACACGTTGTGAATTATGTGAACGAGGAGACAAGGAAGAAGAAACTCAACTCCGAGAACCAGCTTAAACTCTCACTCTCTTTTAAACTTCCACTTTCTTTCGAGACATTTCTATAGTGATTCAAAAATATATATATTGTAATAAGTTTTCTTTTCCTTTCTCCCTTGATTACATATATTCTTCTTATCTATATTTTTGTATGCCTTCTTTCAAAACAATATAATATCATTAACAAATGCACAGATATTTTTTGTTTTACCTTGTTAAAAAAAAACACAATTTAGTCACACTTAATCTGTCCACTATTTTCACACGATCGATTAAAATTGAAATGAAAAATTTACTGACATTTAACAATCATCACCTTTTTTCCTTTTTTCCATTATTTCTCGAACAATTTCCAAATTGATTTATTTTATTACTATATAAATAGATAAAATCATTATTATTAATAATAAATATTAATTACTTACATATATATATAATATTTATTATTAATAAATGAACGTAGATAAAAATATATTTTCACACATATACATATATATATATATATGTGCAAATATATAAATCGATCGTGGTAATGAACAATTAATTAAACAAAATTTGTTTATAAATCATCAAAATACAATAAATATATATGACCAGAGATATTCGTCCAAGTTTAATATATTTTTTTTTGTTTTTAATAAAATGATGATAAAAAAAAATTGTCACACTGTTAAGAAAATCTCTTTGATTGTATTTCTATTTTTTAATTTCAAATAATAAGAGGAAGAAAAAGAAAGGAAAAAAGAAAAAAAGAAAAGAAGAAATAACTATTCTCACATATTAAACCATGTGAAAAAGAACGAAGAGTACAACCGGCGTTACCGTGATCTACCGAAGTCACGGAATGACTGTGAATGATTTGAAACCACTGGTACGAACCTAACGAGTTGTTAGTGAAAGTTGGACACTCGCCCGCGCGAGTCTACGTTATTCGATCGTTTGCCTTCTGTTGCAGTTCTCTTGCTCTTAAACATTTCAAATCATAGTCTTTTTATATAATTATATATGGAACATTTTCATTTACAGGATGTTTCAAATTTTTTCATTGAACTCTAATGATTTAATATAATAAATTATTGAATGAATCAATGAATGAATGAATGAATGATTAGATTTTCATGAAGATTATTTATTTTAAACGAGGACTGTGTGTCAATCCCTTTAAATTATTTTAATTGTTATTAATTTTGTGTTGCTTTGCATTTGAAATGTTATACATTTATAAGTTGTTTTTTTATAATAATATTATTCATTTTATAATGAATAGTTTTTGTGAAACTTGTTTTTCGAAGTTGAAACATTCTGTAAATATCGGATATATATGTATGTGTTTACGTATGCATTAGTTTTATATTGTGGTGTCTACGTTTATTGGGCAGAAATCCAAAAGATGGACTATTATTATCTCGAGTTGAGTATATAAATATATCTTTGTATAACTTAGTGTTTTAGAAATATTAAAATTCATTTAATATTAGTTTTTTTCTCTACACATTTTTGTTTTAAACAAGAAAATTATTATATAGTTTAAATAATGAATTAATTTATTTTACTGTAATTAAGAATTAATAAATTATTGGTAAATTTGTTATATTATATATATCAATAGAATTTATTTTTTATAATAAAATGAAAATATTATATTAATTTAATATTAGACGTTAATGTTTTTACATTATTTGCATAATAAATTAAAATTTGGGATGTATAAATAAGGTTAAAATAAATTAAAAATTGTCTAGCTGGATTCTCTTCTGAAAAATTTTTATCCTTATTTTATACTTTCTTCTTATTAATTATTCGAGAAAATAATATATATGATTATCATAAAGTGGTTAACCTTGTCTCGGACGATTAAAAAAAATATTCAAAAATTGATGTCCTTTCGTCTGGCTGTTTATCGTTTTAACGAAATTTCGCATAGAAATGATAGTATATGTCGATAATAATTATATATCCTAGTGTATCATAAATAATTATTATATTTATTTTAACAAGGTATCACAAATTAATTTCTTCATATATATGTATAAGTGTGTTAAATGATATATAACGTAATTAAATAAATTACAAATAAATATGAGGGTTAAAAAAGAATTGTGTTAAAAAAAAAAGAAAAAAAATTGTATTTTAAACATTTAGAAAGTTAAATCGAGTACACGAATATATTCTTTGAATGGTGTGACACTGTTGAAGGATGTTAATGAAATTTTATACACGTTAACAAATCTTACAGTTTGGTGTTTTAATGAGAATGATTTTTTGTGATAAAAACAACGACGACGACGACAAGTATGATGACCCTGACGATTTCATTTTTTTTATATCCCCATAGATCAGTAGGTTGCAAGAATACTCGGTTTATCTGTTAAGAATCAAGAAAGTAATGGAAGAAAATAATTATGGTGAATTCTCGTGACTCGCATCACGAGTGAAAGACAATATAATATAACACAACACAACCCAACCCAATGGATTCGAGTTTTAATTTAACAAACCACGAGCGTTTATTTTCTACTTTGGCCTAGATACAATGTATCTATCATCGTGCATCGAATGACAAAAAGGGAGATCGTGTGATCAACCTTTACTATCTTAGAAATATATAGGTGTGTACGTAATACATATGTATGTTTGTATACGAAAGTACAGGTAACACTAGTTTTCTTTCTATCTAATTGTAATATAGTTTTAGATTCTTCTCTGGCATTCCGTTTAGAAACTTGAATAATATTCGTACATTTGTTTAATAATATCATTAACCCAATTTTCATTTCTCGATTTCATTTCTATTAATTTATAAATATATATGAGTTAGATTAATTTTTAATTTTTCTTTTTCTGTGTGTGTGTGTGATTTTTTTTCTTTTCTTTTTTTTTAAATAAATAATAATAAATTACTATACGTGTGTAGAACACACGACGTTGTTACTTGAATCCAATTTTATTTTGCGTTGCAATAGAAATTTGAGGAGTTGCACCACTGAAAGGTCGACTAGCAAATATTCCATATTTTCTAGGCGGTGGTTCGGGTGGTTTCGATGGTGGAAAAGATGGTTCGAGAATCTGAATAAAACGCACGAATCATCAATGCACTTGTGTGTGTGTGTGTGTGTAAATTCTTAGAAAATCGTAAGAACGGAATTTTTATTAACTTTAATTTTCTCGAATGGTTCACCCGTTGCATCCTTATCTTCTGCATCATTTTCAATTTCCCGAATTCCAATGTCAGTCGAAAGAATGTAGTTTCTTTGCGAGCGTTCTAACTAAAAAAAAAAGGAACAAAAAATCATCCGAGATTTAATAATAATTTTTGTTTTCTTTTCTTAAATTCCAATAACCTTATCCACGAATTTTTCAATCTCGTTCATCTTACGCGCCGTTGACAATAACATCACGCTGATTTTCTTCATCTTCGAGAAAAATATGAATAATTTGTTTTGTTGTTGTTTTTTTTTTTTTTTAAATCATACTACGAAATTTCTAATAATTTGTTTTTTATTAACGATCAAATTTTTATTTACTTCACTTTCCAATTGATCAGTTGTCACTTTTTGAACACCTTTCTGTAAATATTTTCATTGAAATAATATACTTTTCGATTATGTAACCTATAATAATAAAAAATTGTTTAATAATATAAATAACCGACCGATTTAACCATAACTTCCTCGTACTCGATCTTCTTCTTCTTCAATATAATGAGATCATTTAATTTCTAAAATTAATAAAATTTTAATACAACAACAATTCTGTGGACATTAATAATAAATAATATAATTCATTTATAATGAAATATTTAATCGTACCATTTGATTTTCTTTAACGATTATTGAAAACTCATCGTTGGATTTTTCAATTTTCTTGATCACCTTGAAAGAAACATATGATTTAAAAACATTCATTTACTTATTATAATAATGAACAAACAAAATCTGATGCATTAAAATATCATGTTTGTTATTTATAAATTATTAAATCTATAAATAAAATATATTATGTAAATGAAAAAGGTGTTATGTTAATTAATTAATGTATCTTACTTTATTAGAATACCAAAGTGCTATGTAAAGTAAGAAGTACATGAATATGCAAACGAAGACATTGTCCAGAACATAGACACGTATGAAAGACTAGAAAATAAACGTTGATGATGATGATGATAATAATAATAATATGTTATTAATATTTTTTATTTTTAACTTCGATTGTTTTATAAATATATTCAGACCAGTCAAATTTGTATATCTTACAAAATAGGTTACCTGTCTGTCGTAAATATCAACGAATCTTAAAATTGGATAAGATCTCAATAATTGTGTAAAATAATAAGATCTTCGTGTAAACATTTTTTCAATGAATTAATTCCACCCAACGAGAAGAAAGAAGAAGAAGAACAATAAAATATTAAATAAATAAAGAAAATGTTAAGTTTTGTACGATTGAGAGAACCAAAATTTCATTGAAACAATATTTTTCTTATTATCGATAACGTATAATCGATATTTCATCATACGATGCAATCAAAGGTAAACTGACAATAATTATAATAATAATAATAATAATAATATATCGAGATATACAATCGTTTAACAAATTTTAAAATTTATCATGCATTATTATTATATGTTACAAAATAGTACGAATTAAAAGATAATTATAAGAACATTATAATAAGATAAA